TGTCATGTGAAAACGATTTATGGTTATTATTAGAAATTCACCGGTGAATTCTGGAGGATAATGGGATTGTACCAGAGGAAGTCTTTGCAGAATGCGCAAAATGTTGGTTGTCGGAAGAATTTAGCAACGAGTCTGTGGCCTCTTATCACGTGAATTTTATTGTGCTTGACGGCTCCTCGTCTACGTGTTATCGGACCTCCTGGGGTGTGATCCAGGAGGGAAGAGGCTGAGGGCTCGCCGGTTATGTCACGTCTTGGCACTCGGGTTCTGTAGACGTAAGTCCTTCCGGTTGATGGGGATGGCAGGTCATCTGGGTTCAGTGGTGATGGAATTCTTGTTCTGTTTGGCAGTTCAACATTTTTATTTTAACTCCCGTCTATTTCCACTGATTCACTAACTCAATATTAATTTCACTCTAATCTACCATTTTTTATCATATCGATTTATATCGAAAACTAAAGACTTTAGATGAATATATTGAAGGACTTATTTGTTGGTAATTAAATTACCGGCGAAAATGGTCTTTTGATAGTTTCTTTTAAAATCAATAGTCTTGTAGATCTATCGATATTTACCGAATCGGAAAATATATCTGCAGTTACTTATTAGTCATTCCTTTTTTTATGGTGATTTATCATTTCAGTACTGATTGACCCAATTACATCGATAATTTTGAGAATATTTATTTGAAGTAGCCTCTAGCCTTCGGCTGAACAATTACAGTTTAGGTTTTTAATTTTTTCGAAAATTCCTTGAATCAATTGCTCACCTGTAGGTGTAGCCCTCTGGTCCCGTCCTGGGTTGTGGCAGTCGATGATCTAGTAGGCATTTTCTGCTATTACTATTACTGCTATTGGTATTTCTACTGCTATTGGGATTTCGACGTTTCGAATGCGAGGATCTTCCCCCTGTAAACATCATCTTTCTAGTCGTATAATTCCACTCTCTATCAATTGAATATCTGATAATCAGGAATCATCAGTCGAGTAGTCATCAGATTAGTTTCCATCGTGGATTATTCATCATGTATTTTATTAAAATGTTTGAATGCCTTCGAATATCAGCAAGATGTATTAGCGTCGATTCACACCTTCTGTCCGGCACTCTCACAAACCAAAATGAGGTGTCTATAAATATTACAAAGTCCTCGTGCCACTATTTTCGCTGTATTTCGATTTTCGATGCATCACCAAAGTATCTTTCCCTAATTAACACGACATATTACAATTGATCCGATCAATTTACCGCTTTTGTCTGGATCTTACCGATCGCTTCCACTTATTCGGGCGATCAAGTCGCCAGTCTCCTCATAATCAGCACTAATTAATCCCTTCATTAACGAATAAATACACAAGACCAGCAATTGATGGGATTGTTTAAATCGTGTCCACGTGGGTTTCAAATGAAATCCCCGCAAAAGTTGTAATTAACGGTTGAAAACGAAAATATATCGGGAGAAATCGGTGATTCCATCTTCTTTCTTCGATGATTCACTCCGGAATTCGATGATATTTTCATGAACGTCACTCGTCACCATGAGGAGCTCAACAGCCACCGAAAAAAAATATGAATTTCCGTTATCGAGAACACCAGTTGATTATTTATTGTACGCTGATTGTTTATTCAAATTTAACGGGGGAATGGGAATCTGTCACATGGCTGATATTGCGAGGCTGGAGTAAATGCAGGGGATCAGATGATACCGGAATTTTTTGACGCCTAAAAACGCCGTCGGTTTGCTACGAAAATCTCAACGTATCTATAAATATCGGTAGCGTTGGATCCCACCCGCCATACATATATTTTTTAACAACTTGACGGCATCTTCGGAGAACTGCGCATGATTTTTACCCTACTAGCGCCATTTGATACGATTTCCAAAATTTTCTCAGTTCCGAATCGAGGAATTTTATTTCTCAAGCCCGAAACTATCGATTGTCCAGCACTCGATTGACCAATTCCACCCGCTAGAATTCCAATAGACCATTCCTAGATCGTGTCCGTAGGTAACCGATCGGTTAGTGACTCCACAACTCAAAAGTAATTACTCCAATTATCCCAATTGTCCATTGATTATTGGGTTCATTATGATCTCGATCGGGCTCGATCTTTAGGATGATATTCAATTTTGAACTCGACCTCGTTTAGTTTAGTCAGTATTTAGCCGAAGTTTAGTCAAGATTTAGTTCAATTCCCGACACAGATTGCTAATTCATGCTTTTGGAGAACACTCCACTTGTTTTCGATTGGGTGATAAATAATTTGACTTGGAAAGATGATCGACAATAATTCCTCTTTTATTTACATTCAGAAGACGAATTAAATGTATTCAATTAGTAATTATTAGAGTAATTAGTGCATGCTCATTTGAATTAACAGAATAGCAGTGAATAGGGAGGTGAAGTCTCGTGTGTTGAATAAAATTAAAATGAAAACTCGAGGGGCACTGTAGTGCTTCTTAATAATTAGGGTTTCTCCTGGGTAATGCAAGACGTGATGGAAATATATTGAATGAAGATAAATTATGAAAGGGGTGCGGAATGAGAGCAAGGAGGCTTCTATCGGTTTATCAACTTTTTATTCAATTTTATTACTTCTCAGATTTATAGATTAAATTTATTAGATCCATTAGAACCTTTTCGAAACGATGAACCATGGTCGACTCGTCTTGCGGAGAAACATTGGGGGAGAAATAAGAATTTTAATAAAAAATTAAAAATAAACATTCATTACCCGTAAGAACTATACATAATTTATTATTATGCTACTCTGTTGTCGCCCTCCTTTTAGATTCTTTAGAAGTTTGTCTCGGTGTTTTCAATAATCGATCAGTTGTATTATTCAAACTTGTGTAAAAGAATATCAATGGGGAATGATCGGAGGCGAAAGGAAATGGAAAATCCTAAATTTTTAAACGATCAAACTCACAAATTGTGATAAAAAAAACCTTGTAGGCATGGTTTAATTCAGCGGTCAGTTGGGGAAAGGGCATTCTTTCTTCAGTTGTTTGATGTGAATTTCCAGTGCCATTTGTCCACTGAATTAAATCTCAACAGAAATAAAACTGGAATCCCACGCCAGTTCATCCTTCCATTTTAAGTTATCCGCCAAAATCATCAGTCAATAATGATATCAACACACGAGTCTTGGTACATTTTTTTTTTTATCACTCATTTAACAAATTAAAAGTGTGATCAAGTGTCAGTGTTCGGTGGCTAGTTTCTTCGGCTGGCGTTCCTTGGCGCGCTTTAATCGCTGGGTGAGGAGATGGTGAAGCTGATCGACTTCCTTGGGTGCTGCTTGAACAATGAAAATTCTAATGTCACCGTGAACATCCATGGCAGTTAGCCTCAGGGATTTCGGTCCTGCCAGTTCTGCTGTCATTCCAGGCCATATTTTAGTGTTTAGTATGAGTCGTTGAGTGCCCGTTGCACGTCCAACAAGTCGGGATTCGTCATCACGATCGTTCAAACGTAGAATACCTCTGCCTCGTTCTTGCCAACCACTGGTTACCTGAAATCATAATAATAAAAACTCTCATAGTTCTCGTGATGATTTTCGTGAAATTAGTAGCAAAGTGGCGATATGAAATAATGAAATTTGTCATTTTCTGCCATTTTGCCATTGCCAAACTTTACCTTTTGCTATTGAAATAACCTTGAAAACACAAAATTCCTCACCTTGTCAAATGCAAAGAGTTTGCAATTTATTTGCAAAACATTGGTCTCCCCTTCCTCTCCTGTCAGAGGTGTGACTTGACTGTATTTTCTCTTATTCGCACGGTTTGCCTCCTCGACTTCTTGTGCCGCTTGCGTTAATGTGAGACCGGGTCTACTTGTCGTTCGACAAACAGCAGCTGCACTAGAGAACAACATCTCTGATGATCCATTCTCATTGCTCTTCTCCTTACTCGTCTCCTGCTCCTCATTCTCCGCATCGCCACCATCATTTTCACTGGCAACAGTCACCCTATCCTTGAGATTCTGCCCAAATACGAAGCTCGAGGTTGACGAGGCTGTCACTGTGCAATTAACATTATTCTCGTGGTGATCCTTCGAATTCGTGCCCAGGGGCAAGAATTTCAGTGGCTCCTCTGTCTTTTTAGTTTGGTTATTCGTGTCTGTGGCATTTTCACTTGATTTTTTAACTTCCTCACCGTTTTCATCGGACAATGCACTGTCTGTCACTTTAGTGAAGGGATTTGATGTGTCTGATGGAACTGTTGGGGTGAGGGATGTGCTGGGGGAATTTATTGCTAGTGGAGTCAGTTGGGAGGGCCGGAGGAGTCTCGATGGCTTCAGAACTGAGGACGATGATGATTTACTGAATTCACTTATCCCAAATGAGTTGCCGAATTTCGAGGCTGTCAAGACTGGACCTATGAAATTAATCGGTCAATACATTTAATCCTGAAGTTTGCAAAAATAAAATTCTCGAGTCGAGTTTTCGAGAAATAACTCGGAATTTCCAGATGGCTAAATTTTTCTCGAAATCTCTTCCATAGAATAGAATGAAAGCTACAAAAAAAGTAGTTACTTAAATTTTCATAACTTTCTTCAATTACAAGATATTGCTGGCGAACTATTAATTTTATTAGTTTTCTCATCGAAAACATAATCCAGTTTTGTGCAACTACTCGTAATTTTTAAAGAATATACTTAAATGATAAGGCAATTTTTTAACTCACTGTGGATTTTGATGGCGGAGTTGGAGGAGGGCGAGGAGGGCGTCTGGGAACTGTCTTCTCCGGATTGTCCTTCAGCTTCGTCTGAAAAATCATTGAGGTTATGAAATTTCCAAGCATTCCTTTCCAATGAAAATCCAAAGCATCGGTTAACGAATTGCATTAAAATCAATTCAGTAGAAATTAATTGATAAAAATGAATGAAGAGAAGAACTTGGTAAAAGTCAATACAGATAAAATTATGTAAACGAACCATTGGCGGAGTTTTCGCTGGCTTCTTCTGGGGCGTAAAACTTCAAAATTATCGGTGGCCTAGGTCCATTGGACTCCTCCGTGCTTTCTAATCAACAGAACAATGAGATATTATTTACCGCTAGGAAAAATTCCATGTGGATGATGAAGGAAAAATCACAGATTCATTGTCATCACAAGTAAAACAGAATAACCGTCGTACATCGAACAACGGCTGGGTACTTGGAAAAAATATTCTTTAGGGGATATTATCCTGGAGGAATTGACGGGAGCAGAATTGAAAGGGATTTATCTCGTCAATCGAGCATTTTAGGGAGTGATCAGGAGATTTTTCAATTTGTTATGAAAATAGTTTATTAACAGTATCACAAAACGCACCCGTACAATCCGCCATTTTTTACGTGCAAACCGATTATGAAGTTTCCAGAGGGAACATATCGTCGAGCACCTGGAGATGATAAGAATCGGAGACTGAAGATGTCGCATCATTAGTTTTCCATTTTACCTTGTTGTCCTTGAGTAAAAAAAGCATGGACTGGAAAATGTCATGGTAGAGAGTAATGGGAAGTCTTCACCGGCGGAAAATAACAGGGGAAAACCACTGGAAAACCACTCGGTTTCTCTCGGCGCGGTGATTTTCGTCGATGTTTTTATTTCTTCCCTACAGACATTGAAGATTAAACGATGAAACGAATGTCGATGGATGGATGATTTAATTTCCCATCGAATTCAGCTGGTTTCATCTCTTAATATTAATTAGGAGAGAAGAGATGAATTTTTAAAGACGAGTGAATTACTTGTAGATCACTGGGCGCTTCAATCTCTACCTCTCCTACGTCATTATCGACACTCGGCCTCGTGCCCTGCCTTATTCTCCGGGTACGGCCTCTGATTTAGTTCTGTAGCCGCCGCTACGAAACTCACTGTTTAACCTTTGTCATAAGAGCTGCTGATTTAATGATGTACAATCGAGTACATAAGTTCGTTTTTCTAATTACTGACTTATGTCGGCTAAATACCTGGGGGTTTTCTACCCTGTAATCTCTTTACTTACTGAATTTTCATAAAAATAAAAACAAAGGATGGGACTGCCATTGGTGGATACTTATTAGCCAATGCGAAGTGTCCTTTTCCCACCATTTTTCAATATGGCGACTGCACGTTTGAATTTTGAGCGTTACGAACGGTCAGCGTTGGTGCAGGTGCATGCACATTCCGCCTTCATTTTCAATTGCTATCACAAAAAAGTGCGTTGAAGTGGTAATTATCGTGATTATTATTGAACCGACGTGAGTGAAGTTCGCAGTGAGATCGAGAGGATGGATAATTTTATGAAGGTCGAGAAAATTGGAGAAGGTAAGATATGACAAATGTCCATCAACACCGGTTCTTTACTCCCTCGTAACCAAAAAAATCACCTACCCATTAATAAATCCCGATTATCTCATCCAATTCCCTGGAGAATTATGATTTGGCTGACTGTATGACAGGATAACTCTCAAAAGCCTCTGAAAAATTGCACTGATAATTTTTCAATTTTGACAGGGAGATAATGAATTTGACGTTTTGTTTTGTTGTGAAGGTACATATGGCGTCGTATACAAAGGAAAACATAAGAAAACTGGGGAAATTGTCGCCATGAAGAAGATTCGACTAGAGAGCGACGATGAGGGAATACCCTCGACAGCTATTCGTGAAATTTCGTTACTAAAGGAGTTGAAGCATCCCAACATCGTGGGATTGATTGATGTACTGATGGAAGAGTCCAGGCTGTATCTCATTTTCGAGTATCTCACGATGGATCTTAAGAAATACATGGACACTTTGGGGAGTGGAAAGTTAATGCCTGCTGAGACTGTCAAATCGTATTTGTATCAGGTGAATGATCGACACATGGACGTACTAAAATTATTAATCAATTTCAATGGTGTACTATTAATATTATTTATTCAAGATCACACGAGCTGTATTGTTTTGTCACACACGACGAGTTCTTCATCGTGACTTGAAACCGCAGAACTTACTGATTGATGAGCGCGGTTGCATTAAAGTCGCTGATTTTGGCCTTGGGAGGGCTTTTGGCATTCCAGTGAGAGTTTACACACACGAGGTTGTCACATTATGGTACAGGGCCCCAGAAATTCTTCTTGGCACCACCAGATATACATGTGCTATTGATGTTTGGAGTATAGGGTGTATCTTCGCTGAAATGGCAACGAGGAAGCCACTGTTCCAGGGGGACAGTGAAATTGATCAGTTGTTCAGAATCTTTCGGTAATTTAATCATCATTTTCTTTTATAAAACGACTTCATTTTTTTTTCGAGTCGTGACTTTAGTGAATATCTTGAATCTGCAGGGAGATAGAGGTATTTGTATAAATTATGGGTAAAAATATCGCTATTTTCCGGTACTTTGAAATTTGTTTTAATATCTTAATATTATCAATTTATTCGTTTTTTCATTATTTTTGTTTTGTTCAATTTTTTTATTTGTCCAGTGTCTTGAAGACACCAACTGAGGAAAATTGGCCTGGTGTCACTCAACTTGCTGATTACAAAGCCACATTCCCAAATTGGACAACTAATCATTTAGCGACCCAGGTGAAGCCACTCAATGAAAAGGGGCTCGATCTTCTTCAAGCAATGCTCATCTACAACCCAGAGAAACGCATATCAGCACGAGCTGCACTCGAGCATCCATACTTTGACGATCTCGATCACAAGAAACTGCCTCCAACGTGATAATTATGGGAAATATCCAGTGGTTTTGAATTCTCTGGGATCACTCTATCTTATTTGTCCACGAGAATATCTCTGTCGTTTTTTACTTCCACACTTATTTCGATCTTGAAATGTACTCGTTTAGTTATCGAATTTGATTCCATGTTCACGTCGATGTAAACTCTATGTTTATCCTTCTTTTTCGTTCGTTTTATTATAATTTAACTCATTTGCACGTTATCCATTTTTTTACCTCATAGGATTATTTATCGGATTCAGTCGAGTGGTTTTGACCAGTTGCTGTCGAATTTCAGTGGTTATCTGGAGTTTTTTTTAATGAACAATTCGTCGTTATAATTTTTTCGGCGTATAAATTGCTCATTCATTTCAACGATTATCATGCTCGCAGGCGGATTCTTCCCATGGACTTGTAAATATTTTTGGTGGAAATATCAGGAAAATTATCTCATCGAAACAATGAAATCGTACAAATGTTATTTTTTTTTTTACATGTGACAAGTTGATTGAAGAATGGGGAACAGAAGGCTTGAAGAATAAAGAGAAATGATGTAATTTTTTCAGATCGTATTAATTCTTGTTAAATTAATTATGTAAGTCGATCGTGGGTCTTCCTTCAATAACAGAATACACTTTCCGGGAATTCAGAGCGTCGGGTCAGCCTTCGTATGCGTCATACAATTTTCTTGTTATCACTGCGATTTGATCGTGTCGGGGAAACGAACGTAATGGGAAAATGTAGCAAGTCCATTTTTTTTGACTCAGTAAATGTCCAATGTCCGTGATAACGAATTTGTCTTAAAGAAAATAAACAACAGCTGTAAAAAAAATCAAGACACATGGTCTCTAAAATTATTAAATTACTGATCAAAATCTGAAAAAATTGGCTTGTTGGATTTTATAATATTAGCAGGAAAAATATAACGAGATAGAATATCTTTCTAAAAAATCAGAGAAATTTCATTTTGATAATCTTTTTAGGTGTATAGTGAGAAAAAAATTACTTAAAGCAATTTGGGAAAGAAAGATTGAGTTTAAGACGTTTCGTTTTTTCTGATCATCTGCTATTCACGCATTTGTGACGCGTTCCCACAAACGATTCGTCATCTCTTTTGAGATGAGGGGGGAGTGGCTAGAGTGGGACTGTTATAAAACTCTGGGACGCTCAGTCTTTCTTTTCAGTAACAATTTACACTCCAAACGTTCGTCATTGTAAGTTGCATTAATTTTCTTTCGTTTTTTTTTTCTAGAAGCTAAAAGAAAATTTCCGCTCCATAAACCGAAAAAAAACTTATTTACCTGCAATTAGAAAGGATCATATCCTAATCAATCACGATATTATATATCTTTTCATTCTCGAAAAATTGAAAAGAAAACATAGAATTAAGAGATGGAGAAATTAATAGATTTTACATCCTGAATATTCTAGGAAAATCAATTTTATTTTCATTTTGATAAGTGATAAGGGATATTATTCTTTAATTGCACTTTATGTTATTTGATTTTGAGAGTTTATTCCATGAAATTGTTTCGATCATTGCTCAGGGTTATACTCGTAGGTTGAAGGCGAGTGACTCAACTTGATTGATCTCTCGTCAGTATTCCAGAACCGGTTGGTTGACCCTGCGAATTTCTATTATTGTAATTATAATTATTGTAATTGATTCTCATTACTCAAAGACACTTTAAAGATTTATGCAGCAAGAGTACACATACCTGTACAAAATACGTACATGTATAAATTTGACAACCGATTTTTCTGGTACATGCGTTTTCTGCGATCTTTCCTAGAAATTGGTTGATTGCTCGGATATATTCAATCGAATTCATGCGCGCATTTTTTTTTAACGACGATCTTCGTGTGTGTAATACTAAAACTCAAAGGCTTAGGTTCTAAGCCTTAGGATCACGGGTTGTTGTCCTCTGTATTGCTCATAACTGATTTTCAACAGATGATTTTGCTGAGGAGTTTAATCGCCTTTGTGGGCCTTTTGGCATTAGCCAAAGGGCACAGTTATCATATGGGGTCATGCCCCACGGTGGAACCTCAATCGGGATTCCAAATGGGCCGGGTAATTAATAGAAATCTATAAAAAGTAGTAATTTTCAATTCTCTAGTGAAGTGGTAAAATGAGCCAAGTTGAGTTTTTCGTCGGTGAGCTTTTCGAAAATATTTCCTAAACTAAGAAAGGTAATTAAATTTTTCTCTGAACCTCTATTCTAGAGTTAATCGAGAGCTATAAAAGAGATTTTAACAGAAATTTCACTATTTCCCTTAAATCCGGAAATATTTCCTCCAAAAATCATGTAATCAATAATCAAAAAGTTTTTTTCTTTTTTTTTGGGTTGAGACGTTTGAACATGGAAATTTCGCGGTTCAGTAATTGTTTAAAAAAAAATAAATATTCCTGAAAACTCGCCGAAGTGTTAATTTAGCTCGTCTTACCACTTTGCTGAAGAATTATTCAAATTCTTTACATGCAAGCTGATAAATTATAATAATTTTGTGCAGTTTCTGGGGACTTGGTACGTTATTCAGAAGACCTCGACAGCCAGTAAATGCATCAGCTATAATTACACACGGGGAGACGAGCCTGGGGAGTACATAATCACCCAGGACTCCAATCATCCTGTTCTCGGTAATTTTTACATTCACCCAGGAATAGAATCGTTAATAGAGATAGTTCCAGTCTCAAGAGGGGAAAACTGTGGCAAATAAAAAAACTAATGATTTTATGAAGGATTTTCTCCGAGTGATGCGTCATGCTGGTTCAAATGAATAAGGACTGCCCCACCAAGACCGATTAAATAAATGAGTTTAAAGTGGTTTATTGTTACCCAGCTGCAGTCACGTTTGTATTCTTTTCTATTCGTTTCAGGCCTCACACCACTGAAGCATGAGTACCATTACACTGGAGAACTCACTGTACCCGAACCAAGTACACCAGGACGTATGAAAGTTCGTTTTCCATTGAGTGAGTTTTGTCCTGTATGCACATTTAAGAAGAGATTGAACAGTCAATGGAGATTAAACGAAAATTTCTCTTACGCAGAAGATCGATTATACATTGAGAAAAATATGTAATGATAATTACGTGTGAGTTCTGTAATTCAGACGTGAAAATCGTGGTCAATTATTGATTTCCAGACGAATATAATCAATCCATGGCGGATGATAAATCTCACTTGACTATCTAGCGGCTTTGAGTCTTCATCTCTTCTCGGACGAACGTCAATTTAAATAGGGAATATTTTTCTCTTCAGGTGTTGCAGGCACTGCATCTCACGTAGTATTTGCAACAGATTACGACACGTACGCTGGAATTTTCACGTGTCAGTCCCTGGCATTTGCCCATCGCCAGAGTGCAACCATTCTTTCACGTACCAAGGAACTTGATAAATCGAAAGTAGATCAGATCAGAGCTAAATTGACTAGCTTTGGGGTTGATCCCTTTGAGCTCAGTATTGTTCCACAGACGGGGTGTGATACTGGCAAGGATCCTGTCGATATCGATATAAATCCTGGGACGTTCACCGCTGAGAACTTTGGGAAATTGTTTAAAAAAGCTGGGGAGAAAATCGGAGATGGTGTTGAATGGGTGGCTAATGCTGGGAGCAAAGTTTATCACAAAATAGCCGGTTCTGAGGAGAAGGAAAAGAAACCGATCACAACTACACCACCAAGTTATGGGAAAATCGAGACCAATGATGTCGAATGGATTCCATAAGTTATTTTCCTCTGGACAACTGACTCATTCCCCTTTCGACTGATTTTAGATAGAGACAAATAGGAATCCACCTCGATCTGGGGTCCACCGATTTTTCTATTCGTGATTATTTTTTAATGTTTTTTTGGTGAGAGCAGAATGCTTACAGTCAGGAGACTCTTGAGATTACACGAGGATTAATTTGATTCTTGATTGATTGTAATTAAGATAATTGACAAAAGTTCATTATTGATTAATCCATGTTCGATCGAACGACCTCAGAATTTTAATGAATTCAAGACACTTTTTCATCGTACAAGTCATTAAATCTTCATGACTGCTTTAATGAATAAATACTTTGAGAATACAAAGTGGTGTTCCATTATTAAGATAAGGTTCACAATTATGATCTTCATTATAAAAAAATTAAGTTATCTTATTTGATTCTATTTACATAAAAAGTCGAGTACACTCTCACAAAATGCAGAGAGAATGTTCATTCGTAAATAATAGTACTCATCACTGGAGAATTCACTTCATACTCTAATCTACATTTATAACAGTAATTTTTTAATGAATAATTCGTACAACCGAGTCTGATTAACTCAACCGTTAAAACTTAACATTTATCAGTAGAATGTAAATTATGGAAATTATCACTAGGACGTACTTATATCCCAGGACTCTCCACTGCTACTGGTATTAACTGAGGAATGCCTGCTGATCTGGGGTAGATCAAAATGCCACTTGCTCTCGTCCCCCACACCCTCTACCCTCCATTCGTTTTTAGCCAAGGGAGGTCTAGCTTTGATTCCCAACGTCGTAGGTCTCTTTCCAGGATTTTCAGCCAGCATCATCCTCAGGAGATCAATGGCCCTGGGATGTTTATCACCGAATCCCCCAGGGAAAATGGCCTTTCTCAGGTCTAGAATGGCCATCATTCTCTCCATATCAGTGCCAAAGGGAGTCAACAACTCAAACAAAATGATCCCCAGGGAGTAGATGTCCACTTTGTAATTGTAGACCTGGCCATTCATTTGCTCCGGTGCCATGTAGAGGTGTGTCCCCACGTGGGCAGTGTGAAGACCATTTCCCAGGCCTTCACCCTCACCTCCGTTGGGAGTTCTGGGCTCTTGCCACTCTTCTGTCATGGCAGTTGCCAGGCCAAAGTCTCCAATCTTCACCTTCTTATCGTACGAGAAAAATATATTCGAGGGTTTCAAGTCCCTGTGGATGAGCCCATGGAGGTGCACATACTCAACTCCATCCACAATCTGCTGGAATATATTCTCTACGTTGTCCGGATTTCTGCTGTGAGTCTGACGTTTCATCCACTCCCTCAGGCTCTCCCTGTGGCAAAGTTGCATCTGAATGTAGAGAAACATCCTGGGGATCTTTTTCGAGGACTTCTGAGCCAGATTGAGGGATAGAGAGGCTTTTCTCTTATTCATCTCTCTGTTATCGATTTCATGGGAGCTGCAGGTGTTCTGAAAGACGATGGACTCAGAGTCCTCACGACTTTCAAAATTCTCATCTTCACGGTGATTAATTGATTCGGAAGTCTCTGTTATCCCCGCAGAGTCGTAAAGTTCTTCTGTTACCGCGGATTCATCACTCCTCTCATCGAAAATTATGAATGATGAGTCATCGTTGTTTTTGTTGAGCTCAAGAGCCTCGAAGGCTGAGTCGACTGATGATTTCTCACTGTTTGGGAGATCAATGCAGACTGAAGCGTTGGGTTTGCTGGGGGTCATTGATATCTCTGAGGGGAACTCTGAGGGTGAAAAATTCTGCCTGTTGATGTACATCTCGTCGTGCTCCTCCTTCCATCCAGCTGGTGGGCACTCCAGCCAAGCATGGAAGTACCTCACTATATTCTGGTGGTCCAGATTGGCTAGGGCTCGAACCTCCCTCATCACTCTCTCTCTCGCGTCCTCATTATTTGGAAGAGTAATCCTCTTTACAGCGTAATTCACGTGATCTATCTTCTTTCTAGCTTCGAAGACTACACCATATCCACCCTTTCCTAGACAGTCTACAGGATCAAAGTCTGTCAAGTACCTCGAGACAAATTCCCCAGAGGATTCCAGACTAGGAAGGGGTTTGGGGATGTTCTCCTTGGGTATCAGTGGCCTCTCCACTATCAGAGGAGGAGCCACTGCGTCCTTGACAGGGGTGGTGGCATTGAGCAGGCGTTGTGTCAGCATAAAATTCAGGAGAATTGCTGTGCTAAAAGATATTATCAGAACCTCCTTCCACCAGTACCAGAGGGAGACGATGATCACTTGTACTGGGGTTTCCTCAGAGTCAAGATCATCTCTAGACTCTGAGGGACTTGCCTCCAACAGGGGCACCTGAGTTTTATTACATTGGCTGGAGTCCTCCTGCTGTAAAATCTCTTTGCTGTGCAGGTAAAAACCATTTCCATTGATGTAGTCAGAGTTGTAGAGGACGGAGAGGGCTGTTGAGAGAGAATTCTCCTCCTGATGCAACACCAGAGCTGTGTCAGAGGCTGGATATGGACGCCAGGGATATATTCGAGAGGCTTCCGTGGTTCTCGCTATGAGTTTAATGTGCTTGACATTTTCCTGGATGTATAGCTGACGATCGTGCATTCCCACGTAGATATCGGGGCTCACTGCATATTCATTTCCCCAGGTCGACTTGGTACTCTCGAATAAATTCAAGGCTGTTAATTTACTGATGTTGCCTTCCTTCTCTATTTCATTCTGCTCCCCGTGCTCTCGCCAGACAGACACTATTGGGGATTCTACTTTCTGCTGCCAGAGCTTAATCCCAGGATTTGTTTTGTTGATCGCCCAGATCAAACCCTCAGGGATATTCACTCGTAGTTCGATATTCTCAATATGTTGCAGGAGTTTACTGTTGCATTTCTGGTTGTCATTGGGAATTAATTCGAGATCGTGTTGTCCAACTGAGTAGTTCCATCTCTCCTGGCCTGTTCGAGGCTCAGCTGCACGAATTGTGTCTTGAAATCTTCGGACTATTAGCACGTGGTGCCCCAGGTATGACTCGTTCCCTGTCATATTAGTGCAGCTTCCCTCGTTGCAGTGGTACAGAATTTTTCCTGTGGTGCTTGAGATCCCCCAGGTTCTTGTCTCACCTGAACCAGAGAGGACTAAATCGTCGGAGTAACGGAATGAGGAACGGAGAAGTTGTTGGGGTGTCACCTGGAGGGACTCCAGATTTTCACCATCAAATTTGTAGAGACCACCACTCAGGGATGGAATAAGTCTCACCCAGTGGCCGTCATTGTTCAATTCTCGCTTGTGAATACTAGACGACAGCATCGGTTTGTCCTCGAAATCAACACTCCACTTCTTTTCTCCATTTTTATTCAGGTCCAGGGCTAACAGATTTCCATCAAGAGTACTCACAAATACCAAACTGAAAGAAAATTTCTCGTCAGTACTCCCAATTAATGAATCTGCCAATGAAATCTGTAGGGAAGTGGTGAATAGAGGCGAAATTTATCTCTTCGATAAGTTTTTCAGAAATATCTCCAAAACTAGGGGAGAAAGGAAATTCTCATCGATACATTTTTTGTAAGAGTGATTAAGAACTATGAAGAAGACTATCACAAAGATTTCTCTATTTTTTTCTGTTTTGAAGATATTTTGGGAAACACTACGAGGAATTAAATTAACCTTTCTGGTTTTACCGATTCTCTACAGAAATGATGTTGAATTCGTGTCCTTGATGCATTAAATATTGACACTTGGAGGATAAAAGTTAGGAAATTAATTAGTAAAGAGAGTAATTAACGCTGATCACCTGGATGATGTTTCGTCAGACGTATCAGGTCCACAAACATTTAGTGCATCGATATTCCCGCCGACGACGACACTTATTGTCACAAAAACGGCGAACATCAAATGTCTCCTCGGTGATAACCATTGTGACATTTTTTTTAAATACTCAAAATACTGCTGATTTATCACTTGAGAGCACCAAGAAATCTCACCACAGTGATTCCACAATCACGCATTTCTTTATTATCTCCATAAAAAACACCTCACACGTATCAAACCTCGTTTACTCGATTCTGTGAGCGAGTATGAACTTGAAATCAACCCTGAGGGAATTATGATTAATCAGCTGGTGGCGATTGGTTGGATGATTCGTTGTGATTGTGTTTGCGTGATGTTCCGGAGACGTTGCGTCGTCGAATCCGTCAGTGTTTAAAAATAATCAGTGGTGCTATCTAATGGTCGAAACCACACCTAGAAATAAACCTTCAAACATCCCCTCCATAATATTACCAATATAAATGGATATCCACCGGGTAAAATTCCAAGAATTGGGTGCCAATTTCAAGGTATTTTCAGGGCTTCAGATAAGATGTAATCCGTGGAAATAACATCACGTGCTCCCAAAAATATAAAAAATTTTTCACACTCAAGAAAGTGGATTGTCGACAATGGTCATGCCATGGAGCAATGGAGGTGTCGTTGAGTGCATAAATAACTCACACGTGTTCACGATAAATTGACAAATTGAGAGTATTGTCATCTGTTTGTCGCCTGGTTCAGGGCCTAGACTCGCTGTTCCCCTCAGATGCTGAATGTTGTGGAGCTTGTGGAGTGTTTGTGTTGGAGACCTTAATTATCTCAAGTAAATACCCAAAACATTCCAATAATCATCATCATCAATTCAACGCAAGTGCTAACGAGGATGATTCCCTCGTCTGGACACATATTCATTATCGGATTGAGTCTGAATTTTCATTTGATGTGGCTATAATAAATTTGGTTAAAGATACATGAGTTGGGAAATATACAGTTGAAAAATCACCGCGTGAGTGGCCCTACCCCCTCCCCCCGGTGACAAATTTTAGTTCTGTTCTGTTACTCCAGCCATACCTGAGGACAATAATAGATTTGGCTGGAACCTTACGGCTCTGATTAAATAAATAGGATTGTCTTCTCACCCCTCTTAACTGACGAATCACCCAGTGGTGACTAAATGTATCGCAGTTAACGCACAATAGTTTTTTGGGGGCTATCAAAACTTTGGTGGAGATACTCGAGAGTTGGACTTTTAATTCTCTTTTTGTCACTATTTTGAGATACTTGAGTAGGTACCATAACCTTAAGACGAAGGCTCTTGCAGTTTTAAATTTTTATTTTCCCTAATTTCACTATGATTTCACACTCAGTTATTTTTTCAACTGCAATTTTTTAACTTATTTTTCATCATTCTGTAGGCCATTGTTATCATTGTTTCCATCGTTTCCACTTCATGCATCCTGAAATTTACTAATATTTACTGCTATAAGTTGGAGAGGATTTATTGGTTTTTACGGGGGAATTTAGGAGTCTGAGGGAGAATTGCAGAATTTTGGGGGTTTACTGTGGATTAGTTGATTGGTTAACACTTCATTGAGTGATTGATATGATCTATTGTATATGGGCTCGTTATCGTGATTATTAATTATTTTGGAGGTGTTTAGGGTTGAGTAGAGCTGAATAAGAAGTAAACTAATCTTAACTAGCTTGTGTTAATTCTCTGTAGGTAGTATGGAAGGCCAACAGTTTTGCTTGAGATGGCACAATTTTCAAAATACTCTACTCAGTTCATTGCCAAAATTGCTCGACGGCGGATATTTGACTGATGTTACGCTTAGCGCCGGTGGTAGACACATTCGTGCACATAGGATTATACTATCAGCTTGTAGCTACTACTTCAAAGAATTGTTCAAGGTATCACTATTTATTCAGCTAATTTTGCTTTCTAGTTTTTAAAAAAACATTACAATTACTCAATGCCTCAGTTACTGCCACATTTCATCCTTTCAGAGTCACACAAGGGGATGCCCCAATAATTTTCAATCTCACTCTTTTTTCATTGAATTAAAAATATTTCCACCGGTCATCATTCGATGATCAATGAGTGGATCACTGTAAGTGTAAATGCATGTAATATGATTTCTCCAGAATGAGTTTGTTCTTATTTATTTTAATTTTTAATAAAAACCATCCGGGGTGGAGATAGTGGCATTAACTGGGGCATTGACATCAGCTGTTGAATCCACGTAGAATTTCCTTGCCTTTTAATCATCAATTGAAGCATCAGCAAAATAAAGATATGATCTGTGATTTTTCTGGGGGGATTAACGATTCAGCGATTAAATAGCAGCATTGAAATATTTTTAGGACTTGAGTGCATTACAGCACCCTGTAATTGTTCTACCCGGTATGGAGTATGCAAATTTATGTGCCCTAGTCACCTTCATGTACAACGGTGAGGTAAACATATACCAGGAACAACTGCCTGCCCTCCTGGCAATGGCTGATACCCTCCACATTCGAGGACTAGCTGATATTGCTGGGGTAAGATCCTCATTTAGGAATTACAAATCCCTCGTCACTTCCTCGTGTAATTATCCGGATAATTCCAATGAGGAGAAATTTATAGCAATTAGTCACTGTTTCTCTGTGTTCTGTATGGGATATTCGAGTTTCTTTAATTCGATATCCTGGGATTGTCACGCGTCTGATGAGAAAAAAAGTCCACTAACAATACGAATTGTAAATTCAAGTCATCAAGCTTTTCATAATTCCCAGTGCAACGAGCTTTTCATGACAGATTCTGTGAGTTTAACAACAATTTCATCCATTATCGATTTATCTCGAAAACTATTGATTCTAGGTAAAAACAGGAGATAACTTTTTTATGCCTCATTAAATTTTCAAGATAAGAGGTCTTTTGACGTTTTCTTCGAGGATCAATAGTTTGTTAGATTAATTGAGTTTTGAGGAATTCGCACAATTGAATTATCAGTGATTGATTTAGGAGGGAGTCTTCGTTTAATTTTCGTAAATGTTGTATGTAGTTTAGCTGACAGAATGTGCCATGAACATGAATATAATCATATGAATAATCACAAAGCCCCTGTTAAGTGTCAACCTGACTCCCCCAATATCTATATTATCCTATCATCGTGTTGTTTTGTTCAGGTCACTTAAACACATTTCAATGTCCTCGAAGAAGTACTTCACTGAAATTTATAAAGAAAAAACAATCCAAACCGAAAAATTGAAAAAAATATATATATATATTCAAACAAACCGAAACCAAAAGCAAAAAATCAAATAAAACGATATCCACGAGATCAAGATCGTTGTGTGTGTTGCAACTAAATGCGAGTGGATGCATCTCCCGTGGAACCTTACCCCATAGAATGAATTTACCAGGTATATCTCTACAAATAGAACTCTTTTCACGTTCTCTATTGTTTTTTATTTATCTTCCATTCGTATCGATTTACGAAATATCATTGCTAGCCAATTAATCTGCAGCTTCTATCTCCTCTTCTATTTATTTACTATCTTTAGCCATTTATTATTTCGTTCATTAATATTCTATTCAGTATTTATTAATGTTCCGTGAGGAGGAATGTCTTCCGCTCTTTTAAGTCATTTAGAAACAATTACGTATTTATCTATTTTCAACGCTGAGGGGATATGAAATACTTGGAAATTCAAGATTCTTGAATTATCTCTGTCTTTGTGGTGCTTATCATTTTGTGGTGTAACATAAGATACGTTTCATATCCACTCAACAAAGGTTTGGTTCCAAGTGCTGCTACTCTGCTTCCAATTAACGCATAAACTCGATTATTCCCAACCAAATCAAATGAATAAGTCGAATGATCAACATATATCTCTAATAAAACCACTCCTGGTCCCGAAATAGCTCCAGCCCTAGCATTTTGCAAGCTTGATTCAACTCGTAACACAATAGACAGTCATCAAGACACCAATCCAATCACCCTGAACAATATCCACCTGTTGCAGAAGAATTCACGTCGGGATTCTAATGGAATTTACGTTGATCCTCCATCGGAGGAGACTGAGTTGACCGAAGCACCAGTGAAAAAAGAAATAATTGAGTCCCCACCAGTGCCTGATACTCCAGATAATACCACTGCACCCTCCATTCCCCACGAGCCCGAGAACAATGATCTCGAGGATGATTATCAGGATCACGAGGAGATTCCCTGCAGTGTTAAAACCAAACCATATTACTCGATAAATGCAAAATTATCGCAGAAGGAGAAAAAACAGTGCTCAACGAATGGTCCACCCAAGCAGATGGACAAGACATTGCTCGAGGATAAAGGGGACGAGAGCATGGTAATTGCTGATGATCAAAGCTGCAGTATTGATGAGGGCAAGACATCAATTATTGATACGACATTTCGATACTTGACGACACCATCAGCGAGGAACAGTCAGAGTTGCAATAAGACGAGTGTCACGTGTTTAATTTGTGGAAAGCAGTTGAGCAATCAGTACAATCTGAGGGTTCACATGGAGACTCACAGCAACAGTTCATACAGCTGTACTGCTTGCTCTCATGTATCGAGATCCAGGGATGCCCTGAGAAAACATGTTTCTTATCGACATCCTGTTGCTACACCCCAGAAACGCCCTCGGTACAGTATCACGAAGCCGTAGGGTTTTTTTTTGGAGAATATCGTTTGTTCAGGGAATTTCTCTTGTTTCCACGGGATGGAGGGGTGAGTCGATTTTTTTTCGGGGAATCGTCGTTGATTGAGGGGCTTTTTCCCTTAATTCTAGAAATGTCAGGATTGGGCTGGGCTTTTTTAGGTTGAATTTCGGTGAAATTCTTGGAGATATTTGTCGAATTGTTTTTGCTAAGAGTCGGCTCACTTCGTTCAACAAGTTCAGTGCTGAATCATCAATTTTTGAAGAAATGGGGAATAATATGTGTACATAAACTCGACGAGACCTGAAGCGACTGTTTGGATATCTAGTCCACTTTTATAGCTAATTTTCTGCTAATCTTGTTGAGGCTCATGCGGAAAACGGAAAGACAAAATGAATTAGTTTTACTTGTTTTAAGTTGTTAAGTGGTTTAAATGATCCTTATTACCCACCTGTTGGTTTTATTTCCTTCGTTTTCCTCGTGATAATTATTGGGACTTTTATTTTTGAGAGATAATACTATGAATTTCAATAATATTATTAATTATTCCTGTACTGTAGATAACTTAATTTAATTCTTCTCTGAGATTTTCGAAAATATCTCTGGAATTAAAGGAGATAGCGAAATTTTTGTCAAAATCTTTTCTGTGGAGCTAATTGAGTAGTACGAAGAAGGTTATTACAAAAATCGCGTTATCTCTATTGGTTTTGGAAATATCCCTGAAAAACCTAGTGAGGGGCTGCGTTTATCTCACTTTACCTCCTCACCACAGCTGATAATAATTTTATTATTATTATTATTATTATGAATAATGTTCTTGAAATTCAGTTGTCTGTCGATTTAATTTTCTCAAATCCTCTGAATAGTGCATAGTCACCCTGACGCATGGTGTTTTCAGTGGAATCGTTCACAGGGAATCTCATATCAGTGCATAAGGTGTTTTGTTTAACGATCAAATAGTGTGGACGATTTCTCTGAAGTGATATATCGATATAGAGTGAGTCTTGATACCCCTAGTGTTCAAATTGTTATCAATTTTCTTTTCTTGTTATCGTTGATATATGGTAATTGAGGCACTCTAGGTGATTCGTTTATTTTGATGTGAAATTGTTAATTGAATTGAACACTCATTTTTTTTTCTCTTTTGCGTTTCGATTAGGTTTTTTTTTCCTATCTCTCGATTAAAATTGTTGTTAATCGTTGATCGTGTCTAAACCGGTTGTTGATTATTATTGTAAGAGTTTAGAAATTATGGAGATGGGGGAATACTGTCGAAAACATATCCGTCTGTGCCAAGTAATGATAATTTGAAACATTGGAAAATAATGTGTGGAAAATTGTTAATGACAATCCACTGGATATTGAATTGTATATCGATCATCAATCGTATTCAAAAATAATATACAATATTTGTATGCTACAAATTATAAAATAAATAAAGTGCATCAAAATGTTTATGAAAAATTTTCTCAAAAAAGTTGGTTGGTGATGTTTCATGTTTCTTGAAGCGAGAGTATAAAAATGACGAAATTAATCCGTTTTTTTTTGCTCTTTTGGCTCGTTAGATTTTCTCCACACGCCATATTTTGGTATTGCAGTCTTGGCCAACCGATATCAAGGTTTCTTCATCCAGCCACACAAGACGTGTGATTTGACTCTGGGGATGAGCATCTGCACACAAATTAACGAGTGAAAATATTTCATATTTTTCCAAATTTCCGCAATTGTTCGGATTTATTCAATACGTAAGACTTCGAGGAATATCTTTGAATCTAAGAGACTTACCAGGATTTTTCTTATAATCATTTTTGTAGAGTGTCATAAAAGGTGCAAAACAGCGAGTAGAAAAATTTTGGTATTTCTCTGGCAGATAGAGATATTCTTGGAAAACTTGCGCAGTGAATAAATCGAAGAGTTATCCTTTATAATTGCATTAAAGAATTGGATTTTATGACGTACTTTTGATAATGGTGTGTTTCGCTGGATTCGTAACGCTCCAAATGATAATAGTAGTGTCCAAACTGCCACTGGCAACCATTGTCGAGTCACTCGACCAAGCAACGGTATTCACTCTAGCATTATGGAAGCCCCATTCTCGGTTGTGTGCCAGCTAAAATAATCAATAATTATGATACCTGCACAATAAACTCCATAACAATCATAATGAATAGGCAATTACCCCCTGTTCCAGGTTTAGCAAAGGACGGAAAAAGGAGTTTATTATTCAATGATCGAGTTCTGTATTTAAAACACAGATTCACGAACAGTGATGGGCGAATTTCGTTTTTTAAAGGCTCAAGTCCTTAAGTTTGCAAGAACTTATGAATTATTCTACTCCCAAGTACAAAGTACTATTAGACTTGGTACTTGAAAATTTTCACGTTTCAAGTCCTTAAAGGATTTGCAGTTCTTCATTTTTATGAATTTTAATTTGAATAGTACTGAGTATTTGACAAATTTCCAAGTACTCAATACTTTTTCGGCTTCGGACTTCAGACTTAAAATTTTTCAAGGAATAAAGCTAAAAAACCGGGGATCTATTATTTTGTGATTTGATGTTCGTCAAATAATCAAAATACTAGAGTACCATTACAAATTTGAAAGTTTAATATTCCGTAATTTTCAAGTCCTCAAGTCCTGTGTTTTCTTGATATGAAGATTTGACAAAAGCAAAGTCCTAAATTCATGCGGGACTTAAATACGCAATAATGATAAACAAATAACCTGAGGAGTGCTCATCACTGTTAATGAAAATAAAAAGCTGTCAGAATTTTTTTTTTTCACTCAGTGCGCCTCTCCAGCGAATTAATCAACAAAAAATAACTTTGAGTATTTACCTTGTACTCTGGCAACATATAGAGAATAACTTTCCTGTTGGCATCACAGGCAACTAGATATTTGTTATCCGGGCTGTAAGCAACATCTGTGACAGGCCCCAAATGCTCCAGCTCGAGTTTCAAAGTCAGTGACGTGCCAGAGAGATTGTAAACGTAAACTTTGTTGTCAGATGTGGATCCAATAGCTACATCCCCAGTTTCTGGATTGACTCCCACACAAGAGGGCTCGTAATCAATAGGAAGTTTTGATACTTTTCTCCCTGACTGAGTCAGATGGATCTGCCTCATGGCAGCTGTTACAACTATATCGTTATAGATATCAAGTCCTCGTGGCTGTGAGTCGAGTTTTATGGTGTCTGCATCGTTGTACGAATTGCTCGCGATGTCAATTGCTCGAAGGGTGTCATCAATCCCAGCTGTGTACAGCAGATTACCCGATGCTTTCATACCATTTATCTGATTACCGTGACCCTGACCCTGGACACGATCATTCTCCCCTGTGGAAGCATTCCAATTTGTCACGTGACCATCGTGGGAGCCAGTGTAAATTGTTCCCCTGTCTGGACTCAGGGTTAATACTGTGATTGGCTTGTTGTGGCCCTTTATTATTCTCAGGGGTTTAGAGGGGTCGTTGACATTCAGGTAGTTGATGAAACCACTCAGTGAAACCGAGAGCAAGTGGTCACCCTGCCACAAACAGCTAACTTGTTGATCTTCTACGGTACTACCTGTACGGAAAATCATTTTATCGTCAATTAACTATTCATATATCGAAACCGTGAAACGAATGAGAAAAAATCATATACATACCCATATTAAATTCAGTAATGAGACTCTTGGTCTCTACATCCCACAGTCTACACGTCTTATCTCCAGAGGCAGTGAGCAATTGAGTGCCATCTGGCTTCCAGGTGACTCCATAAACTCCTCCCTGATGAGCTGGTGATCCAATCTCACTGACTAATTCCGAGGACGTACCATCGTAGAGGAAAACCTTGCCATCGAAGCCAGCTGATGCAAAGAGGTTCCCTGAGGGGGAATATTTGACTGCCTGAACAAAACGCGAGTGTTCCTGCTTGGTCATTTTGAATTTGAAGGGTGGACCTTCGAAGATGGCAACGGTGTTGTCCTCACTGCCAGTTATCAGTCTGAAGGGTCTCGTAGGGCGAAAGTCGCAGGAGTTGATGGGCTTGCTCTGCCCTGAAATCTCACCCACTGAGGTTCCAGTGTCAGCCATGAACACGTGGCCAAATCTCTCACGACCCTCACCCACCACAACCATTCTCTGGCTATCTGGGGACCAAGCTATGTCCTTGATGGGACCTCCAATCGGGTGGAACTCATTCTTCAGGATGTGCTCCTTGTTTACTGTGTCCCAAATTCGAATTTTCCCGGATTGATCTGTGGAGACGAGGGCAATGAAATTAAAATCCTTTTATCAGGGAGTCCTCCGTCAGGGGGAGGAAGGAAAAACCGAGAGAATCCGAGAAAATAATAATAATAATAATTGAATTTCAATTGACTGCAGAATTTTTAACTTTTTGACAAGTTGAATCAAAAGATTTTACCAGTTTGGCTTTGCATTTTCATTGGCAAAATAGTAGTTCATGAATTTATTACGGAATTACCTCCAGACGCTATGTAAAATCCACTGGGCGAGTATTTAGCGACGTTTACAGCGCACGAGTGCTCGGTGTAGATATCCGCAATTGCAGGATTCTAAATAAACGAAAAAAATACATATAAGAAGTCAGTAGTTTAGACGACCGGTTGAGTCTCCCTCACATCGATGTTTCTGATGATAACACTATTTCCATTGGTATACAGGAAGCTCTTCCCCTTGGGGTCGCCTCCAAGGACAAGGGGAGTCCCTCTCTGGGTTCTAGGCAATGCAGCGAATATGTATTCTGAAAAAAGCAAGTGTAAATACCTTCATTGTGTCTGTATTATTCTTTCTTTGCCAATTACAAAGCGTTCGACTGAGTTGACATTTGTAGATGAATCAGAAAAATTCGTACTATCCGTAAAAATTCTCTTTGAAGAACATTCCAATATTCTTTTCTCAATTATCACTCATTCCATTTTATATATTTCTCCAAGTTCTCCTCCAGTGAATTATTTCTTAATAAACCGGAATTATTAGGTTATTTTTTATTCGTTAGTCCTTTTTTCCAAATTCCACATCTTTCAATAACTAATTATACAATCATCCTTTATTTAAAAAACGATGAAAATAATAATAAATGTATATTTCAAGCCACAAATACGTGGATTTTAATAATTATTTTAGTTATTGTCGAAAAACTACCGGTTACATACATCAATGCATGCATACATGTGAAAATGGTTAACAAATGAGAGGTATGACTTTCTGAGCTCAGAATTAGTCATCCTGATCCATAAAATTTGAATGTTCACGTTCGTAAAATTGAATACTTCTATTCGAAAGCAAAGAAAACGGAGATTTCGTTGAATGACTGATGCCACTTCCAGGAATTCATTTTTGCCGAGTGGGCAAACATCCAAATTGGTTTTATAGAAATTATTTTGAGGCTCAACGTGTTGCTTATGACATGCAAATGACGTAAGAAATATTGTCGAGTATTGTGAGAGCAGAATAATCTCACTTCCTGTTTTTTTTTAAATTTTTTTATTTCGATTGATTATCACCGAGATATTTCCGAGAACTCATTATCTCTATCTCTATCGATTCTTTATCGAGGAATCCCATTTCAACAGAAATAATTCGTTAAATCAACGAGTGCACTCCATGAACTACTCCAAATTTATTGCGTGGAGATAGAGATATTTTCGGAGCTCCAATGAGACCACAAGATGAAAACAAGAATAATAAAATCAGGCTCAGGTGCCG